TGAGCGAAACACGTAGAAATGTTCGGCGAGAATAAATAATTGGACGCGGGCGAGGCGGATCGCATCCCGATCGTCCGTTTGTTGCCATTAATAATGCATTTGTTGCATCCATCGTAGTTTTGAACTCCGATCGAATTGGGCTCTCTGCCTATTAATTATTCTATGCATTCTATTCGATGGAATTTAAATTACTCAATATATTAAATAAAATTTAAATTACTCCCTATAATCGGAATGTTTTACGTTCATTCATTTATACAGGCTGATTTTAAGGACGACGGACATATTAACTGAGCATTTGATTCTAAATCTGAAAGTGGTATGTACTTGTGAACTCATTTTTTTTTTTCAAAGATAATTTTTAATTTTTTCACACATTATGGACACCTTAAGAAATTCTTTCCTTACCGTCTCAATAGAATAACCTATTTACGAGCACTAAAACTTTTCACTGAACGAACGCATAATTACGAAACCGCTCAAAAGTGTGACAACTCTTAACGGGATAAACAAACAATGTTTGAATTGATATTTTTCTGGTTATTTCTTGTCAAAATGTTTTATTTTAATATGATATATAATATAAATAAGATATATGCAGGATAGCTTTTTAAAAGGTTCAGACTCGGTAGTATAATCGTTTATTGAAATAAAAACAAACGTTTTTTTTATGTGAAAAGTTGCCAAACGAGCAGGATGTTCACCCGATGTTAAGTGAATACCGCCGCTCATGGATCTGCTACACCCAAGGGTTGCAGATGCGTTGACAACCTTTTGAAAATTGGGCTCCGGCTACCTCACTCACCAGACGAAACGCGAAAGTTTTTGTCATACTTCCACTTTACGCTAGTCTTCTGAGAGGTCGTGGTACCTACCCGGACGGGCCTGTCCATTCGTGCAACAACCGAAGTTGCTGCGTGGCCCTACCACCGTAAGCCATTTCATTCAATTCCCAAATGTAATTAATTAATCATTCATAAATGCATCATATACTTTTGAAACGAACTTCTCTGCGTGTTAGTTATGAATGATCGCACGTAAAATAAATGAGTTGCCCATAAATCACGCACTTTTCGAGAAAGTTCAAATTAATGTAATTAATTAATTACGAGTGATTTTAAATATTTATCATTTTTATATTATTTTTAAATTAAATTCTACACATTATTTATGTCTAGAATTTAATTTAAAAAATGGATTACACTTAGAAAAGCCTTTATGTATATTTGGATTATGGAATGTTCAATTAACATTATGTCAAAGTATGTACGTCGTCTAAAAAATCATCCTGTATATGGAATAAGTGTGTTTACAAATCCAAAAACGGCCTAGGCTTTTTACTGTTGTGAATCTTCTTTGCCACTTATTTGTTAATGACCCCTTCATTTTTTAGTTTGTTACCGCAGGTACTACAAGCCACCTATAAATTATAAGTAAAATTATCATGGGAATATGAAACAATATAATTTTTAACAATATTAGGAGTTAATTTTGGACATGTAAAGTTCTGTTTTTAGTTTGAGACATTATGATATGTAAATGGGAGCAAAATAAAACACAATTTGGTTTCAGGTTTAGTTTTGACGTTATGTAAAAAGTTAGTATTATCTATCTAATCAAAGGTATCTATCTAATTTAATAAAAAAATATGTTAACAAATGCTATCAGTTCTTAATTACCTGCGTACTTTACTTTCCATTATCAAACTTAGTGGCAACTGTCAAAGGACCAACACTTGCTAAAAATTAAAAATCGGCCTAAAATCGGAACGACCAACCATAGCTTTCTATTGCAAAAAAAGCATTTCACATCGCATTTCCTCCTAACGTTTCATCAAGAAAACATTTTATCCATCATGAAGGTTTCCATTTTCAATTGTGTTAACGTAGTTCTTTTACACATATTCTCAAATATAACCATTGACCTGTTGGGAACAAGTTGTCACCGCTTATAATTTCGGACGCATAGTATTCCACTCTTTCCTTAAGTTCTTTTTTCAATCACGCCTGTGTTTTGAATGCTCATGGACAGCGACGTTATTCTCTTTTACCCAGCAACGTAGTAATCTGGGCTACTTTTTATTTTAAAATATGCACGGTTATACCTCGATTGATAATGTAACTGCAATTGTAATTATTGTAAAATATCAATGTACGCTCATTGATGGTTATTTCGTCTCAATCTCAATCAATCACAAGGGAAAAGGCCAGAGTTAAAATAATTGTGACTTCATATTCAAACTTTTAAATCCACATCAATTCCAGAGGCATTATCTTGGATTTTGTCAGAATATTAGGTAGGCAAAAAAGTAGAGTAATAGCCTATATATGTCCCACTGCTGGGCAAAGACATCCTCTGTACAGAGACTATTAGGGCATAGTCCACCACGTGGCCTCACTGCGGACTGGCGGACTATAATTAGGTAGGTAGGTAAATAGTAATTTTCAACTACACTATTCTGAAGTTTTTCTCAATCTTTGTGTAATTTATTCGTTATTTATAGTGAAGGTCACATCGTTACATTTTGTTTTTGTGTATTCTCAAGCACTGGTGATAAATGACATCGAAACTACAAAGGAAAAAGTCCAAGACGAAAGGCGTCGGAAAGAACTTGGCGCGGTCCTTTCGAAATGGACATTCTTCATTACAAAAGTGGATGGCATCCAAGAATGTGAGCTCTTTTCTTTCAAGTGCGGCCGCGGATAAAGACTTAATGAAATACCTTTTTGATGAAGCCGAGATGGGACTTTTTTCAAAAGGCCAAGGAGACGTGCGTCGCTCTCTAGGCGCGGAGCTTGCCGATTGCCGATATATGTTTTCTTAATTAAATTCACGCCGCCTTTTGATTATTTATCAAACAGCATATGAATGATATGTTCGTTTGAGTTGAATTAAACTAATTTTTTTAATTTATCGCGTTTAAATTCAATATTCAACTTCCAGCGATACGAACACTTTACAGCGAATTTCTACTATTTTAAATTTCATGAAATTATAACATGGACTGTTTTGGGATTTGTTCTGATTTGGGATTTGTTTAATTTAAACAAAAATGTGAAATGTAAATTGGTGAGATATTTACGGTTTCCTCGTATTGAAACTTAATGCATTTTCGATTTTAACTTATAATTGCCATTAGCTGTTGTGATATTATTATACAAGAAATATTCATTATTTGCCCAATCTTGAGTATTTAAAATTATTTTAATTGTGAATCAGGAATTCTTGATGTATTGTTCCATTACATCCTTTGCTGATTGATAATTAAATGTGTCAAATAATTGCAATACACTGTCAATTCTGCTTGAGAGTACTTGATCAGTTCTAAACACAAACAGAATAATCCGTTTCCTTGCGATTGCCCATTTGTAAACACATTCAAATAAATCTCCACTCGATCTAGACACTAATATCAGACGAGCAAACGGACAACAAATATGATTTTTCTATTAAAAGACAAGTGGGACTTCATATTCGTTCTTATGCAGGATACAAATAAAGTTTGAAACTGTACCCATGTTTTTTACGGAGCGACGGTATTATTTGCCGCCTCAAATGGAAACATGTTGACAAGTTTCGGAGGGGCGTTTAGGCAAATAAAAAACTAATAAAAGCACGCGGCGCCACGTGCCGCAGACGCGCAGTCTCGATATTGATGGTGTCGCGATAATTGGCGTTTAATTTGATAGGCGAGCGCAGGGGCCGTGGTTCTAAGCCGCGTTTTCAATGGCCATAGCGCAGCGGGTCTTTAATTTGATATCTAGTCCATGAGCCAACGAGAATCGGGGTTGTTAGACGCTTTCGTCCTAAACGTTATATGTCAAACAAAGTAAACATTTTATAAGATATAAGAAAACTTTCTGCACAAAGTAAGATAAACTATGAAAGCTTATTTTGTGGCAACATAGAGACGTCAGTTAGCGCTTTACCAGTACAATTCTCGATTTTATGTAGTAAGGCTCCAACGCCATTTAAATAAAATATTTTTATAATGTTAATGCCTTAAATATTTTTCGTTTTACCGACATATATTTAATTAAAACATCGATGTACCGTAATTTGGTTTTGATTACTGAACAAATATTCTATAGTCCATAGGTCTTGGGGTTCTAAAGTTTTTAACAGCATTATATCAACATCATACTTTACTATTACTGATGTTTTTGCTTTTAGAGTGTGAACTATAAAGGCTTCACTGAACGCAGGACTGTCAACAACTGCCGTTAAATTATTAAATAGAAATTCGCGAAGCATTCAAAGCAGCTGCAAAATTCCGAAGAAGACTTAGTATACTTTGTCTATACAATATCTGTGTATATAGAGACGGGGGTGAGGCGAGATTCGGTACGGCTTCGAACATCAATAATGCATGCAAGCGGACAAATCACTTAGCGTCGCCGATGTTTTAGTGCTGTCCCTATTTACACATAGCGGCGAGATTATATACGTGTAATGCGAGCACATAATAAATATATTATTATGTGAATTGTACGCGTAGAGATGCACCTAGATTAATGTAGATACTTTTGTACTTCGATATACATAATTGCTGTGGTTTGCGAAAATTTTGTTCTTTGCTAAGTCGCTATGGTTTCCGTAATGTGGCACAGGTTGCTTTTGAAACGTCTTGCTAACTGTCTACTTAAACAAGGATACTTTAACACACTATCTTTCGATGACTTGACGTTGAGTGTTTTTACTATTAACCAAGACTACTTCTCTTCTATTCTGTACCTTAGACTTTTAGTTAAGGATAGCCTTCGTCCTTTAATGTCAGTTAGTCGCATTGGTCTGGAAATATTGCAGCAAATAGTTGATTCTGAAACTTAGTGGACTTATGGTATTGAGAGAGCAGCGTCATAAATGCGACTGAACGTACGTACGGTTTATGAAGTTACGTATAGAGTCGACTAATTTAGCAGGAAACAAGTTTTCCATAGGACATTTCGATCACAAATAAATAATTCCTGAAGCATTATTATCCCTTCCGAAGCCTATTAATGTGCGGTAGTTTCATGCTCGTCGCATTGCATTGCCACTCGCCACGTTCGCGTGAACATCTTCAGTGTAGCGACTGGATTCGATTTGAATCGAAGACAAGCGGGGAAGGACGGGGGCTGACGGTGAGGGGGCTTACGACCGACGACGCTGCTCTGATGGCTGAATCGTGTACGTCTCGCACCTGAATAGCATTCGGCGATTGTACTTATGCTCTACTCCGAAAATATATTATTACTAGCGGACCCGATAGACGTTGTTCTGTACACCTGAATTAAATCCGAGAACAACGTATATATAAAAAATTAAAAGAAAATGTGGACTGAATTGTGAATCACAGAATCATTCCGAATCGACCCGAAGACACACACAGAAAATTTCATTAAAATCGATCCAGCCGTTTAGGAGGAGTTCAGTGACATACACAGAAGAATCACTACATAGTATAAAACAAAGTCGTCCCGCTGTCTGTCTGTCCCTATGTATGCTTAGATCTTTAAAACTACGCAACGGATCTTGAAGGTTTTTTTTAATAGATAGAGGGATTCAAGAGGTTTATATGTATAATATATTGCACCCGTGTGAAGCCGGGGCGGGTCGCTAGTTGTAGATGTAAAGATAACACGGACATAGATAATGCTAAAGAGAGTTTTGTTGTATGAACGCTTCTCCACTGAAAGTACATTTACATGTAATTCCTGAAGTAGACTCTTTTGAAAACGACGGCCCAATACTCGTTTTTGCGTCGAATAGAAAATTAAAATAATTAGCGGAAGCTCTAACGACCGTCCCTTGAAGTAACGAAAGCTTTAATTATGTAAGCAGGTTACAATTTAGTTCCAAGCTTAATTTTTTAGCATTTGTTTGGTAAAATAGGAAATTAATTCCCTTCTAGCTTTTTGCCCTCGCTTTCAAGTCAATGACTATGCGTTTAATATTTACTTCATGTTTGATAAATTAATTGCTAAATTTAATATTAATTAATGTTCAAACACTAGCGACCCGCCCTGGCTTCGCACGGGTGCAATGCTGAATGTTGTTTATCGACATCGCATTAGAAACCTCTAAAATTGCCAGTGTATCTCTACTATATTAATCATTAGTTATATATATAAACCATCATCTTGAATCACTCTATCTATTAAAGAAAACCGCATCAAAATTCGTTGCGTAGTTTTAAAGATCTAAGCGTATATAGGGACAGACAAACAGCGTGACGACTTTGTTTTATACTATGTAGTGATGTGGTCAACATTCAATTATAATATTGTGTGATTAATTTATTAAGTAAACATCATCATCATCCATCTGTCCTTATACACTTGTAGAGTCATCACATGAATCCTGTTGTTTGTGGTATTGAAATAGTTTTTCTACGATCTGCCGCCTCCTTTTCGAGGATAGGGCCAAGTAATAAAACTCAGAAATAATGAAAAACTAACAATTACTAACAGAATAGATTAGAAAATTTTAAGATACGCTACATATTAATCATTTATGATTTGAAAATTTTAAAATTTTAATAGACTCGCTGGAAGTATAAAAAAAAATTGCACAATCATTGTAAATATAAATTAGGACATTTTAATACTTCCATTTAAAATTTCAAGTAGACTCACTCACTTTTCAACAGGCTAGCTGATGCATGTGGTAGTATTTCGGATCTTCATGTAGATAGTAATCGCTTATCGCGAGATGGTTCACTTCTCTTTTGCCATCTTCTCTATAAAATAAATAGTAAAAGAAGAAGAGATGACATTTTTTTAATATAAAGGTGGCAAACGAGCTGGATATCCACCTGGTATTAAATGATAACCACCGCCCATTGACATTTGCAACACCCGTAGGGTTGTAGACGCATTGCAACTTTTTATTAAAGTGGGACCCGGCTTTTTTACTCACAAGACGAAACGCAGAAGTATAATTCTTTCACTCCATGCGAGTCTTCTGTGTGGTTGTAATACTTACGAAACTGCCCATTCGTGCGACAGCGAGTACTGTTGCGTGCTCCTACTACAACCTTTACAACAATACAACCTTCTCTACTGAGAGCAACATTAACTGTTTAAAAGTAATCCACTATTATGCTGAGGTGGAGCAACATTACGAGCGATGCGGCATCTCCCAAGTCGACACGGCGGACCGCAAAATGTTCGCCTTGCGAAGCCCGCCCTGGCCGCAAGTTGCACCAGCTAAGTTGCTAAGCGAACTTGGAGTTGCGCCGATGCCACCGGGTCACTTTTGCGACTATTCTTCTCAGGCCCCTTGTTAGATTTAGCGGTGAAACTTCTTCATATTGAAACCTAAATTTTAGAAAGTGAATTGTACTTTGCGATATATTTATTTTTAATCAATATTGAATACATGACAGTAGTTTTTGAGGTGAAAAAAATTTAAAAAATTTGCATTCCAACGGAGTTTATTTAGCCATTAGGGGAATCCATTACGAAATTGTGGTAGATTTAATAAAACCAGCCAAGTGCGTTCCATACTATATCTATAAAAACGGCTATAAAATCATGTTTGTTGAATGGGAGCCCGATTCAGATATTCTTTTATTCTTTATTTGTTGTTATAGCGGATAAAGAAATACATCACCTGTGAAATTTCAACTGTCTAACTGTCATAGTTCAGATCAGACGGACAGACAGACAGACATCGAAGCCTTAGTAATAGGGTCCATTTTACCTTTGGGGTTAGGAACCTGTGGCGACACAATGCAATATGATATATTAGTCGAACGCCCCATGCGCCTTACATTGTGCAGCGCAGTACAGTTCATCGCAAGTAGCTAGCGAACGCACACTGTCATGTGAATATCTTGTAGAGTTAATATTAAATAATATATAATAGTAGCGTAGTATTTATCTCATCTCCTCGTCACAATAGGGAATACAAATATATCTCTAACTCTATAAACCCTAAAATGGCTATCGAAAATTAAAATTTATGTTTCTTATGTCGATGAATTTTGACAATTAAAAAGATAGAAAGATAAATGAATAACTTGTCCATTTTATTGACATGAATAAAGAACACAATGTATTCATTCTATTTTATCTATCTCCGTAAATCTCAGTATCACAATGTAGAGTTCAAATAAGCAAGTATGTACCTACGTTACTGTCCTGGCAGGCATTTACTCTTTTTGGTAGATGGCGCTATATTCACTTTTTTTGATTATATAATGGTTGATAATGTGTACCTCACTAGCTAGCTATTAACGACTACTGATTCAGAATATTTTTAGACTAATTTTAACAGTATGTATCTATATTTTCAATCGACTTCAAAAAAGGAGGAGGCTATCGATTCGACTGTATTTTTTTATGTTTGTTACCTCAGAACTTTCGAATGGGCGAACCGATTTTGATGATTCCTTTTTTGTTTGAAAGCTGGTGCTTCCCATTTCGTCCGATATTAATTTAACTGGTATTTGATCTTGGGCCCCGGAGATACTTGGGGAACTCCCGAAAATCGATTATAAAATTAATACACAGCGAGATATTTGAAGTCGGTTTTGTTTTTCGTTAATAAAAAAATAGTTATTTATCAAAATCGGTTTGCTCAGTCAAAAGTTCTGAGGTAATAAATATAAAAAAAATACAGTCAAATTGAGAACCTTTTGAAGTCGATTAAAACAGACTTGTCTCAGATATGATGCAAATTGACCGCGGCAGAACGATTGAATATTTGTTGAAAATAGTTTTTCTCCGTTTTAATTCGGGCTTTACTTCGGGTTTAGACTAATTACTCGCAATTACGTCGAGTGTAAGAGAGCTATAGGGAATTAGAAGCATTTCTCTCCCCTTCTCTCGTCCGACTCGCGGTAAAACGATCGTTTACAGCATAACCTACAAACCGACATTCGTTTGTAACGTCGAACTAAAAAGCTATCGTCGATTCACAGGAATCTTAACCCAAGATTTTTTAGAAGCTCTTATGTAAAACGACTGAAAAAACTTTTTGATTGTATGGATCTTTGAGACTATTAATCGATTTAATAGCTAAATTCAAAGAAAATTTTTTTATCACGTGTAACAGTATTATAGTACTTCGAGTCAGAGAAAACAGTGCTGGAGTTGAACATTTGACGTATGCCACGCAACATAAATGTAATTGTTCAGAAATACTTTATTTAACTGTTAAGATTAATTAACTAATCGTATAACAGAATGTTTATAGCGATTTATATCTAACCATTGCGAGCTACTATTGTGTAAAACGGCTCATGCAAAGGAGGAAAAAAAAAATAGTGTCATACACGCCGAAGGAAACACCCAGGAATAAAGGCAACGAGGAAAACCCGGTGAATCCAATTTGTCACGGCACATTATTCCGTTGGCGAAAATCATTATCCGTTTACGCTTTCGCTGGTAATTATTTTAATCCTATAGCGCGGGCGGCCCGATGCGGAATGAAATAATTCAACAGCCCCCTCCACCTCCCCCGGATCCAAGATGGCGCCGGGGCGGGGCAGGGGGTGGGGCGTGCCGCCTCATTTGAATTTCGAACGCGCGCTCTACGAACGTGTGTTCAATTCCGAAACGGGTTTTCGGCCAATTAACTTCGGTTTGCTGCATAATTCGTTTTCAGCTGGCAGAATAGTACTGCACAATACTCTATTGTTGTTTAATTGGTTATAATATGATGCGACGTCTGACGCAGGGGTTGTTCTGTGTTCACTAATCGACGTATTTTTAAATGAATTACTCTCGTAAGTTGTAACCGACGAGATTCAAGTATTGAATAAAATACTGTAAAAGCAATTAAATTTACGTCTTACTACTACCTAACAACACATAAGAAGAGGTAATGGTATTAGATTATTAAATTTTAATAATTTGTAGTTGAATTAAATGGTCTTTTTATAAGATACCGTTACACTTTCAAAACTAAAATAATATTAGATCTTATAATGTGAGCAATCTAGTGTGAGAGTTCCATATCTATGAAATCTCTTTAAGCAACTAATACAAGTATACAGCCGTTCTGAATAATTAAATTACTCCACAGAAACGGAAACGGACGCAGAGCAAACAAAATAGAAAGAAAGCAGGCGCCATTATAACTTTTCAAAACTAATAGGCGACGCCGCGAACTCAAAGATTCCGAACAAGTCTCCATTTCCCTATAAAAAGCCCCATAATACCTACGCCGAGGCAAACAGTGTATTGTGAGAACTTTCACAATATTATGTAGAGTGGTGTAATGCCGTCACAAAGGATATCCCCCTCTCGCTCGGTAAATAACGCTTTGTTCTACGAAGCCAAATTTTGACAATCACTAGCTCACTCCTCTGCATCCGCGCGGTCGGGGCGGAGGCCATAGAGTAAAGACGCAGATGCGACAAAAACACAGTTACAAAATTTTTGAGGTTGTGTTAACAACGTGTTTATATTGAACTAGCCGACCTGGCAAACGTTGTTTTGCCATATAAATTATTTGTAGAATAGAAAAAAAAATTGGGGTGGACCACCCTTAACATTTAGGGGGATGAAAAATAGATGTTGTCCGATTCTCCACCCTGGCCAATATGCACACAAAATTTAACAAAAATGGGTCAAGCCGTTTCGGAGGAGTTCGATTATAAACACCGTGACACGAGAATGTTATATATTAAATTACTATAACTTTAAGGGATATTTCTATGACTGGAACATGGGTCATATAAGTCATAGTTTCAGAGACAACACCGATTTTGGTTTTATTAGAACACAAGAAGTCACCAGTGTCATGAATCCTTACTTTTGCGACGTTGCCGAACTGACAATTATTCATTTACTGTAGAAAAGTTGTGTAACTTAACAGACTCAACTTACTACACTACGCAAGCTATTACTTTTTTAAAAGTAAATTAATTTGAAAATAAATACGTATTATAATATTTAATAACGCCCAAAACACAAGAAAAACTCTATATTCATTTTAAAAACGAAACCCCACCACCTAGAGCAAGGTAGGTTTACTATCCATAACATCAATCAGATCGTCGCCAATTTGAACGTTTTAAATTCTAAATCAGACAATTTTAACAAATAGGAAGTAACATATATTAAATATAGGCTGATGTAAAAGTCTGTATTATGATTCTTATTATTTGAGAGTCAATTGTGTCAGTAAATAAGGTGAAATTAAAATTTTCATAAATATGTAAAATGTTTTTAAAAGTCGACGTTGACGTAGATGCATAGGAGTTATTTATAATAAAATCCTAGACGTAAGAGAACCAAGTCAGAAGTGAAAAGTAATGATTTACAAAAATAACTAATTCGTCAAAAAGTTAATGTACGAATAGTGATGAGTATCAAAAAGGTGATATGAAGGTTGATATAAATCTGTCCCAACACTCTCACTAAGTGATTTAGCCTCTTCAAATCTACAGAGCTTAGTCTTTGGCGCATTTCTTTGTGTGAGTGGGGGAGGCGTACCCCCGACGGGGGGTGAAGTAGGGATGTACGCCAGTCGAATGTTGACAATTGATGGATATCTCTTGTCTTGTGAAGGCAGGATTAATGGCCCGCTGCAACAATGGTGTCGACTCCTGAAGGATTACGCACTTGAGGGACTGAGGATGCGTCGCCTGCGATGAATAGAATTTCCTCAGAGGGAGTACTGGGGTTCTAAGGTCGTTTCTAATTCGCAGTTCGTACAAAAAGATGTCGCGGTCTGCGGTGATGTTGAGATGTATTTGTCGCGGTGTTAAACTGAGCTTACAAAGTTTCTGGTCAACTTTCCTTCGTTTATCACTTTCGTATTTGTATTTTATACAAAGAGAAGTACTTGTTTGATACATTATTGATAAAGTAGATAAGTAAAAATATCATATATACTGATGTATTATACACATTAAAAATAATTATCTGTAATTAACGTCTTACGTTCACATTTAGATACCTTAATCTAGATAAGAGAACCAATAAAACCAATCGTTTAATACGTGTCATTACGTGTTTATGTTCCCGTAACATAGTACGAAAATTGTATATAAGTTTCCCTCCGCCTACCTTACTCAACGAACCAAAGGCAATATATAGGTATATATATAGTATCTTTTCTTCTATGCCGGGCCTTAGCTTAATGTATTAGGAAACAAGACCTTAGCGAATTCCTCGAGTACATCAACACGCCCCGGTCGCAATAAACGGGGAACAAAGCCCGAAATCACGCGATCCTTCAGTCGCACCGCTACAAGACAACGTTATCCTTGACAGCGTTTATGGCCGCACGATATATATACACAAATATCCCCTTGTCCGGCCGTCCGTC